GGGGGGGGGGCTGCTTCTGGCACCTGTGCGGCTCACCTTCTCTGCCCTAGGAGCGTGGGATGGCAGCAGGGGAGCTTCCTTCCAGGTGCTTGGAACGGCTCACCTTCTCTCAAAATGCCGTATTTCTTCTGCAGACCTCTAGTGTAGTCACTGAAGAAGGTCTTCCAGGAGGGTCACCTGTACAATGGGTTCAATCTCATAGCAGCTGACCGTTTGTAGAGATTTCAGTTCATAGTTGTCTGGCTCCAAGGCAGGGCAGCATGGCAGAGGGGCATCACAGAAGTGAAACCGTCCATGGCAGATAGAAGGTAGAGGCAGCAAGGCAGCAAGCAGCAAGCTTCATAAAGTAATCTCAGTGGAACCTCCAAAATGATATAGGGGGAATAGATGTAACTCCCAAACCTGTTAGACATCCAAAATGCGAATTTGTGTTCTCTAAAATTGAAGAATGAATTCTAGGAACAACAGAGGTGAAGAGTAGAAACAATTTATTCAGAGAAAGCTTCTGTCTAAGAGAGACAGAAGGGCAACTGAAAAGTGGGTTGCCCACCCACCCTGCTTTTCAAAGGTGTTTTATACAGCAAAGCCATGAGGTGAGGTGGGTACAAAGTCCCTATCCCATCTTTTTAAATTTTTTTGTATAGCTATTTTTTGGAGTTTTATACTAAGAAAATAGTGCTATGTTATGAATGACCCCAGACTGAAGTAATTTCATTGGCATTTTGAATTTTATCTGGTTCTGTAAGGATATATTAAATCTGTAAGTGGAAAAATCAGTATTAGTACTGGCAAATTCAGTCATCTCCATGTAGCTAAATAGAACTTAACAGAATGTAATTAGGCATTTTATCAAAAAACAAGCAACTTACTATTTGATTTGGCAGAGAGAATAGAATATTATGTGTATTGTTTGAGCACATTTAAAGCACTCCTGTTTTCTGACTAGACACACATAACTTTTCTTCTTCCTGATAGGACTCAGAACTATTCTCCTTATTCTGCTGATATGCTAAGAATAGATTGTCGCCTAAGTGAAGGGTTTTAGCGTTGATTCCTTGGATTAAGAAGGGACCTTAAAAGCCACCTGAGGCAAAATCCCAGCCTGGGCGAGGTTCTGTTGGAATGTGTGTTGAATATTTCCACTGCACCCCTCACCTGCTGGCGTTGCCATGTCTGGATCTGAAACAACAAACTCATGAAGAAATGTTATAGTCTCAGGGTGGGTTCCCTCTCACTTCTGCCTAATAGTCATTAACTTGAGTATACAGAACAATAAAACAGTAAATGTTCTCTAAGTCATTTGATACTTCAAAATTTGAAGCAAATTGGCATTTCCGTTTTAGTTTTCCAGGCACAACAAGCATAGCTCTTTCAGCCTTGTATTGTGTTAATTTCTAGTTTGTTTTACCCTCCTGGCTATATTTCTTGGACATTCTTTAGTTGATTACTGTCTCTCTTAAAATGAGTACCCCAAATTAAACACAGTGTTCCAGATGTGGTCTGGCCAGTACAGGGTACAGTGGAGATGCTAGCTTGCCATGTTTTAGAGGTTACATTTCTTTGAATATTCATGCAGACTAGTATTATATTAGTTTTCTTGAAACAGTCATATCCCATTTTTGGCTCACAAGGTTTTGGTCAAGTTGAATTCTTAGGTCTTTTCATTTGATCTCAGACTTTTAAAAATTATTTATTTTTTTCAACCACTGCCAAGTCAGGTCTTTCTCCCCATTGAGAACATGATTTTGTTTAATTTAAATGAAGGACTTTATATTCATTTATTCTTGTTAAATTTGATTTGGCTGATTTTGGCCTACTTGGTCTTGATCCTGACATTTGTCCTATAAGGTTTCCATGATCCAGGCTTTGTACTCTCTCCAAAATTGTTCTTATATTCTTGATACAAATGTTTACCAAGGGCAGTGTGCCACTCTACTAGAGGCCTCTTCCTCCAAGGGATTCATCTATTAATCAACTGCAGAAATTACTTTGCAAACAACTGCCAGTGTACCTCAGTAAGCGTAGCATCCAGCTGCAGTTTTATTATTTTATTTGTAGAGGCTATTTTCTGAGACTATCAGATGCTCACTTGAGATTCATGGACCATACCCTAATCTATTGACACATAGCTGAAATAGCTGAGATGTCATTGCTTGGCTTTACTTATTCCTCTCTCTTTCCCACTACTCCTTGTTTCTTTCTTTTATTTTAATGCTCACACATCTCTTTGTTGGCTGCCATACTAAAATTTTGGTAGGAATTGGAATTAATTTAACTGGACCATTGTTTCTAAAATTTTCTTTGCCCTCTTGAAGTAAATGTCTTAGCATTTCCATTTTCTGAAATAACTTCGACACTAGCTTGAAGATTATATTAACAAGTTCCTATAGAATCTAAATGTGTGATGTTTGTGGGCCTGGAGGCTTAGATCCACCGTAAAGCACTTACATGGATGTTCTTGGGCTACTATTCCCATTTTTTATGTTGATCAAAGAATGCTTGCCTCCATGGATAATCATGTTTTGATCTGACAATACTGTACATCATTTTTCTTGTGAAACAGTGTGTCCCTTCATTACTTACACTTAGTAGCAAAAGTTCTTTAATAGTTTTATGCATCTCATCATTCTGAGCCTTATAGGTGTTCCTCGTAGTATTAAAAATTTTGTTACTAGTAACATAGTTTGCCTGTTAGCCTTAAAAGCTTTCTTTTTTAACTTTGAGCCCATTATAGTATGCTCCTGTAGTAGCACTAATTTAGAAACTCTCCTTCCTTTTTTTAAAAATTATTAGTAACTATCATCTACTGAAAATTATTGGTGTTCTTCGTTTTTGGAATCAATTCATAGGAATTTCCACTTTCTGTAATAAGTGGTTTTTCAAGTCTGGGCTTGAAAGCCTCTTATGCTTAGTATTTCTTATTCTGCAAACTACTGAAGTAATATGGCGATTTCTTCCAAAGTTTCTGATACTTCTTCCCAGCTGGTTCTTTCGTAATGATCAGAATTGAGCACAGAACATCATTTCTCCTTGTTGCTCTCTCTGCTTTGAGAAAGGAGGTGTAGGTGTGGCTCATGGCATGACTTAGGACTCACAAGTGTGCCTCCTTTCCCAGCAAGAATTCAAGCAGTACCCAGAAACTCCCATCTCCATTCCTCACTTCCTGTTTCAGCCCCAGATTTCCCTGTGTAGCTTTAGGATGCCTCTAGGAAATCATAATCCCTGTGTCTGACTCTCCCTGGCTTGTCACAGATTGTCTATCATTTTAAAGAAAATTCTTCACTAAAATAACTTAGGAAACATATGTTTTTAACTCAGCCAGTTAAGACCATCAGTAAGGAAGGGGAGTATGTAAAACATGTAAGAAACTCATGATACTCTTATCCTATACAAAATGAAAAGCTTATATATTCAAACTTTATGATATATAAATTATTATTCTAAAGAAATGGGTATTTTAACACCTACTTTATGTTTTATATGTTGCTTAACATATTGACTGAGTTACACAAACTTCCTTTTGAATTATGAAATTGTCTCTTAAATAGAAGATATCAAAAAGGAGTAATAAAACATCCCTCAAACTATATTTAGGAAGATTAGAAAACTTTAGAAGGTGTTCAGAAAGACTTCTTGTTATAAAACTGTAGTTAGACATACATAGGGATGTTGGACAGGGTTTGATGATTCTCTGGGACTCATAGCTATGACTTGTTACAGCAAAAGAAAAGAAAAGAAAATCAACAAAGGGAAAAGTCTATAGAGTAGTGGTGGTGAACCTATGGCATACGTGCTGCAGTGGACTTCTTGTTACTATTGAAAGCTCTAAAAGGTTTGCCATCACTGGTCTAGAGGGAACCAGTCCCAGGTTTTTAAGAGTCAGACAAGACATGCTTAAGTTTTTCAGCAACAAATTTTGACAACACATAGGAAATGTTGTCTACTAGCAATGCGTATTAGGTACTCTGTGCCAAAGGTTTTTATTACTAGTTGATATGTAGTCACCCTATGCCTAATCTCTAACAAAATTGAAGCTACCCAGACAGCAGGTGTGTGTTCAGCAGTATGATTTATGCACAGTTATGCACCAGGAATCATTCTCATCAGTACTGGAAAGGGTGGCAGCCCCCTTCCCCCATCCACTTTTCTATATGTGAGCCAAGGCCAATTGTGCTAGCAGGTCTTCCCAAGGATAGCAAACTCAGGCCTGCTGGGTTAATATTTTTCTGCACAGGACCTCAGGATGTTCTCATGGAAAAGCAAGGAAAGAGATTAATAGACTCAAAATGAAAAGCTAAATCTCCAAGCTGCCTCTAGATCTCAGGTGAAATTGGCTTGGTTGATTTGTACGGAAGTAACAATGACAGACTGCTCTTCCTTATATTTCTTAGTTGATATAAATTATTTTAACTATTTCTGGGCAACCATGAAGGCCTGTGAGATGGCAGTTTGCAGTCTTTCTGACATGTAAATATGAATGGATCTCTGACACTTTCTGCAGGAACCAACCACTTAGGTACCCAGTAAACCTGCTGTCAACCCTCTGCATTTTAATACTGTTTATTCTTATTAAAGCAGCAGAACCCAACTAGTGTTGATGGAAGTGAAGAGTTCTCAGAAAGCAGCTAGACAATATAACATTTTAGATAAACTACATGGAAAAAATTCAACAGTCTTCCAGATCCACAAAGTCCCAACATTATTTGGAAACCAGAACATAGGGTTCAGGCAATCCTGTACTTTATGGGAGTTTCCCTTCAGTACAAAATTTGCCTATCAGTGGAGCAAACAAAAGGAAAGTGACAACTCGTTCTTGTAATGATGGTCACAGGAAGAAAAACGAATGGAGGAACTTTGGGGAGAAAATGAGCAGCATGTGTACACCATTTCATGTGAAGGTCTCAGATCCTGCAGATGCTAAGATGACACTGATTCTTTTTGCAAAGAGATTCTTCATTCACTTCATAATGATATATCACCTCATAGAGATGTGAGTCTGAAAGGCTAAAAAATATTCCAGGACTATCTCTTTTTTTCTCACTGACTCCAGTGTACTTTCCCCAGGTAGACAGCAGTGCCTAAGCTGTGATCAAAATCACTCCATTGCCCCTTGGATATGGTTGGCATAAATTATGAATTTGAATGATATATTGGTTCTTTCATGTGGTTTTTCATAAAGCTTTTTAAAAAACATATAGCATCCCATATGCCTTTATTGTTAGCCAAGTGCTGTACCTAATTTTTTTTTCATTAAGATACTGAAGGAGTTAACAGCATGGGGTATGTGAATGGATACTGAAACAGGAATAAGTACCATCTTAACTTCCTGCTGTTTGCAAATGCAGGTTTAGCAGAACAGACCTGTCTTACTGACCTGGAAGAGCTATTCTTTGGGTGATATTCTGTAGACCTTTATGTCAGAGAACCTGTGTAGGTGACCCTTAGTTATCTTCTTGCCTTTTTTTTTTTTTTTTGTCCCTTTACAGCTAACATTTATCTACTGAATTTCTTTTCCTCCTAGAGAGATGGGGGGGGCAGAATGAGAATCACTCAACCTTAGAATGATAACCTATAATAAAATTTTAATGGTAGTTTTCAATTAATAATTTCCCACATGGCTTTTTGCCACTGCCCTCCCCTTCTGCTAAATATTTAGCCACTATGTGGTTAATATCTTCATTTCTTTTGGTACCGGGAATCAAACTTGGGACCTTGCACTTGCCAGGCAGGCGGCAGACCCACTGAGCTAAATCCCAGGCCCCAGTATTTTCATTTTTATTAAATAACTGAAATACAATTTATATCCCCATTCTCAGAATTTGTTTTGTTTTAAATAAAACAGTAGTGCTAGAAGTACCCAAATTTTTATCAGTATTTACCTTTATTGCATTTGCACATAATTTGCAAAGGATTTAGTGGAGATTCTAAGTGATAATTTTACAAAGATATTTGTTGCTAAAGGCCTTCGATTACCTTGGCTAAGCATCTGCTAACAGCAGTGTCCCTTACATACTTGAATGTAATTAAAATAATTCAATGAAAGCAAAAGTTTTGTGAAATACAGACATCTAAAAGATACTTCTCAGTAGATTAAAATAATTGGTAATCCTCCATGCCTTTTTGTTACTAAAGAATTAAAACAGGAATGATAATTCTGTGAAAAAATTTATTTTTTAATGCTCTCATTTAACGCATATTTGTTAAGTATCCTAGGTGATATTTTGACTTCATGTTTGTTAAATATCCAAGGTGACTCAGTGTTAAATAACCTATAGCACCTTACGTTGATTAATGCATTCTGTTTTCTTTTTAAGATTGAATGATGAAGCACGGCGGCTCATTGCTGAGTTGGGGAGCACATCTATTACTAATCTTGGTTTTAGAGACAACTGGGTCTTCTGTGGTGGGAAGGGCATTAAGACAAAAAGCCCTTTTGAACAGGTTAGTCAATATTCATAATCAGTGGACAAAAATAAATTGTATGAAACCTTCTGTTATATATTCCTGCCCCAATTTGAAAATTGGATGAAATAGATATGAAATAATATGTTCAGATATTCTTCTTAAGTTCTTGATAATCAGTGATTTGAAACAAGCACGGTACTTTTTTAAGTTTCAAAATTTAAAAAATAAACAACTCTACATGGGTATTTTTTGACACTGTATTGGAATAGAATTACTTTTTAGCCTTTTAGGAAGCATTAGTTATTAAAGATTTTAGATAGAAGATATATAGCTTTAGATATGAGAATCACTTAACTTTGGAAACTAGGATTTAATAGAATGTAAATTTTTTTGTCTAACAGATGATCTTTTAAAAACATCTGCAATGTTATGTTCTTTCAACTATTTTTTGAAGGTCTGCCATGTATGTACCAACCTCCAAGCTTATTTATATCTTGAGCAGTCATTTATATGACCTCATTGATATGAGTGTTACTGAAATGAGGACAAATACAGTATATTAGAGCAAATCAGGTTCCAAAGGTTGTCTAAACTGTATAATATATTATTGTGTTCCAATAGCACATAAAGAACAACAAGGACACAAACAAATATGAAGGATGGCCTGAAGTTGTAGAAATGGAAGGATGTATCCCCCAGAAGCAAGACTGATGGAAGCGCACTTTTACTATTAATGGGAGAGCTATAAAGAAGAAACTACGTGTAAATATTTTAATAGCATGCAGCCATCTCGGTGTGTGCATGACCATTCTCTTTTGATATCAGGATTATTTATTGCTAACGTAAATAGCTATCTTTGTAAATAGTCCTCACAATGACCAAATCACTAAACCATTTTTAAGCACATTTCCCTAAGAGCACAATATTTAGACTGCTATGGTAACAACATACTTTAATTCTAAAAGTATACTCAGTGGATAACTGAGCAGATTGTGAAACTACCGATACATATACTGGTTGCTGTGAAAACCTGTCGTGATTTTTAGAGAGGACATTTTGTTTATATAGAGTGACATATATCTGGCCTTGTGATTATAGTATCTATTAAATTAAAGAGAGATTTGACTAGTTGTATGTGTAATGTTACCTTACAGTCTGATTCTCCTTATGTACCTCTTTTCTTAGTCTTCTTTTTTCCTTTCCAGGAAACCAAGAAATAAAATATTTGATATGAAAATCTCAGATTTCTGAAAAGCACAACAAATTCTGTTCTTAATGCACCCAGTAAAGAGTCAATATATAAATGTAGATGGCATTCAGGACCATAGCTTCTGGATTTTGTGTTAGCAATGTGAATAACTTGATATTGTATAAGCTATTTAGAGTAAAACTGGAGGTAGGAACTTCAACAACTGAGGAACCAGGCCAGATCCCCTCCTCAACCTAATTACATCATTCAGGCCAGCTAAGGCAGTATACTTAAAGCAATACAAGCATATATTTTCCCTATTTATTATCTGCATTGACCAAGGGATTTAGAAAAGGGCATGCCTTAATATAATAATTATGATTTGGAAACCAAGAAATTCTGTGTTTGCTTCATCTAACTTCCTAATGATAATTACTGCCTGAAGCTATAGTGGCATACTGTATAAGTCCTAATTACCAATAGACTAATGATATTTTAAAAATAATTTTATTTGACCCAAAATTACTTTATGCCCAATTTACATAAAAGTATAGCCAATCTTTTTCCTTAACCTCAAATGGTCTCTAAATGATTTGGTTTTATTTTAATTGCTTTAGGGCACTAAATGTTGTCTATGGAGTATCTTACACTGGAACATAAACACATTTGATGATCAAACTGTCTTTCACAGTATTAAGTCAGCATTTAAATTTGAATCTAAATTTTAGATGATTTATATAAAAATCTCAAAGCAGTATTTATTTTCCTGTAAGTTGGAAGTTACTTGGATATTTCTTAAATATTAATAAACTTTGGGGTTCTGTTTCTTCCCTCAACCTGAATGTAATTCATAAGTAAATGCACCTTATATGTTTAAACAATTTTTTATAAACTTTTTACATTTTTGGTGCTTATATACTAAATCACATCTAACATGTATATTTTGACGTTTAAAATGCTTCCCTCAATTCTGTAAATTAAAAAAGAATAGCTATTTCACAGTTCTAGGGATTGTAAAATAAATGTTGCAGTTTTTTTTAATAATGAAAATAAATATTGGTTTTTTACATTGTCAAATTTTTGTATTATCTGGCAAAGTAATATGAAACTTGACATTAAGGGTTTCTCCAAACATTTGTTTTACTGCTTAACATGAAAAAAGTAAGTCATTTTTGTGGTTAAACTTGGTAATATCCTCTGGATATCTTTACGTGTATAGATTTTAAGTGTGTAAATGGCAGGACATCCCTTTGATTTTAAAGACTGTAAAAAGATGTTATACAGGTGTATAAAATGTCAAAAGAAGGGATAAAGATTGGTAGCGTAACTGCTTTGATACAGGTTTTGGTTTTTTTTCTGAATTCTGTGTTGTATAGATTGTGCTAACTTTGGAAGCAATAATTTTACATTTTATTTTCAGATCTCTTTTTAAAGTCAGCATTATAAATGAAACAGTGGTCATTTAATGTTAAAATCTTTCTTTATTAAAACCAAAAGTTTAACATCGACATTTTAGTAGTTTAAATTGGTGTTTAAGGGCTTGTAGATACATACTTGAAATCACAGATCCATTCCTAAACAAGTATATTACTACATGAATGTTAAATACAGCAAAAGGAAGTGATATTTGGGATAGTAAAGAAAAATTAAGCCAGTCTTCCTATTCCTGACTTTAACTTAAAGTGACATTAACCATGGCTTTTTCTGTATTGTATTTGTTTTAAAATGAATCAGCTAATATTTTATAATTTTTTGATAAAAATGAAAGCATAATTTATGCTGTATTTTACTTTCTACTTTGTTTTATTTTATTT